TTCATAGAATCATAGAATTTAGGGCTTGGAATGGAGCTGAGAGCTGACCCAGCCCCAAGCCCTGCCCTGGGCAGGGACACCTCCCACCAGAGCAGGTTGCTCAAGGCTCATCCAACCTGGCTGTGAACACTGCCAGGGTTGGGGCAGCCACAGCCTCCCTGGGCACCCTGGGACAGGGGCTCACCACTCCTGTGGCTGCAGCCCAGGATTCCATTGGCTTTCTGGGCTGAGCTCACACTGCAGCTCATGGGGAACTTCTCACCCACTGTCACTGCTGGAGGAGACCTCTAGGATCACTGAGTCCAACCCTTAACCTGTCCCTGCTGGAACCCCCAAACCCTAACCCAGATCCTCCAGTGCCACATCAGACACCTCTGAAACACCTCCAGGGATGGTGACTGCACCCCCTCCCTGGGCAATATTCCAGAGCCTGAGCAGTATCTAGGTCACAAAGGCAGCAACTAGGAAATTAGTTTAACACAGATTACAGTAAGTATTTTTTATACTTCTCTAACTCACTGTGACAGGAGGCTATGAAGGCAGATAATATCAGCAGGTTCAATCCAGAGTGGACAAATTCATTGAAGTGCCTGGGTAGACAGAGAAAGAACAAGGCAGAGAAGTAGCCCCTAACCCCCCACCCCAGTAAACCAGTGTGGGTACTGGGAGTGACACAAGGGAAACTGAGTGCACAAAGCAGCCAGACTCCTGGCAGAGGCAGGAGCACAGTGCTTGGCCTAGAAGGATGATTACTTTGACCTGAAAGACATTTATTATGCTTTTAGACCATCCGAGCCATGGAGAAAAACAAATGATTTTTAAAACAAATTACTAAATAAATAAAACACAAAACCTCAAGAAATTACACACAGCTGAAATCCTCTCCCAAAGCAAATTCCCTGGCTATTTTGTCTCCCTCAGCCAAAAAAATACTGGCTTCTCTCATACCTTCACACCCAGAAGGGTTTGGCAGGGCAGTGACTGTTAGATTTACTGCTCACACGTGTGCAGATAACGAGATGACATCTCATTCCAAGCTGACTGCAGGCCAAGTGCTGGGCTAACATCTGCCAGACATGGGAAGCTACAGAGCAACAGGGAAACCCTTCTAAAGGGCAAATCCTCCAGGGGAAACCCTTCTAAAGGGCAAATCCTCCAGGCACCAGAGAGGTGATTAACTGTTAGTGTTATTCCATCACCAAATGTGTTCACATGTTTCCTGACATCATCTGCAAATCAATCCATTTCATGGCAATGTTTTTAACACATCACACACCTTCCCTGCACTGCAAGAGGCTTCTACTATGCAGAAATATATAGAGAGTGAGTTCCAGGTTAGGAAGGAGCTGTAAAGGGGAGACATTTAGCCTGTGCTTATCCAGCACCAGTCCTGGGGTAATGTCTTTCCCAGCTTAGAGAGACTTGGGGGTGATGGTGGTTGGGGCTGAGTGATCTCTAAGCTTCATCCCAACCCCTAAAAATCCTATGGTTCTACTGGTTATTAATTCTCTTGCTTCTCATGCTAATTATTCTTTCCCCCATGCATGCAAGGCATGCTCAGCCTTTCTCTCCTGTTGGGTCAGTGAGTTTCTGGAGTCAGTGTCTGCAATCTGCCCCTGCCCCAATTCCCTGTTCCCCAGTTGGAGCTGATTCAGCACAGTTGCTGAGCTGTGTTTATTAGCTTCTTCCTTACCTTGGGAGTTGTGCCAGATGTCCTTGTGGCCCCTACACTCTGCATTCTTCGTGCCCACTATCAGTGGTACAACCTTCTCCTCAAGGTTTGTTAACCTCCCCCTGGGTCTGAGCTCACTGTGGCATGTCAAGCCCTAAACCTTAACAAGGCAATTCTTAATGACAAGTAATTTGTCTTCTCTAACACCTGGACAGCACTTAGAGCTTGTTAGCTGCTCTCTCTGTTTTACAGGTTAAATCTCCTTTCCTGTTGATTAGGCTTGAAAGTATACAAAGATCAGGCACCAAAAACACCCTTTCTTAAGAGAATTTTTACATGCTCTACATTTTGCAACACAGCTGTCTGACAGCTGCTCCTCAGCAGCTGCTTAACTGCTAAACCTTGGTCACTTTTGAGCCTTTTTGCTGGGTAATGATCTCAGCCCTTGGAAGGTCTTACCAGTCTGGTGAAAACCAACACCTGCCAATGGCACTGTTGGGTCTGACTGAAAGGAAGGCAGCAGCACCCCAAGAAACATGCAGGATGGACACAGAGTGGCTCTGGCTCATGGCTCTGCAGCAGTTCAGGAGAGACCACCAGGGAGGAGGGAGAGAGATGGGTCTGCTGAGGACATGGCAAAATGGATCTTTGCTCAGAGGAGGCACAGAGAGTCAGGAAATCAAGCTTCAGTAGTCCCTCTGCTCACAGAATGAGCCTGTTATTAGGCCTGTGATGATGTAGCTTTATATAGGTCATTGTGACAGTAAAAACATATCATTTTTATCTTCAGCCTGCTTGATCTTCAGCAGTTTTAATCCACAGTATCAGTCTGTCTGATTTATTGCTGCTTACAAAGCACACTGACAAGGACTTCATTTTATCTCCATGCACAAATACTCTGTGCCTAAAACACAGCAGAGGCATCCTGGCTGTTTGTGTAAACAAGAGATTAGGCTTTCTGCTGATTTGGTGACATTGCCTCTCCAAATATATCATAGAATCATACATATATATAACCAATTGAGCACCTATTTTAGACACTTTTCTAATGCAAGGAACCTGCTTTGTGCTTTTGTTTGTTTTCCTTTTCGACTGCAAATATGATGTTTAATCTCTACAAGTATAAATAGATTCTCTTCTAGTACATATTCCCATTCATATCCCATTGATTCTCTATTATGGTCACCTGTATTGACTTCCTAACGCCACGGAGCATTGTTTGGCCCAGTCCTGTCTGTGCCCACTGACCTACCATCCCCACTCCTCTCACCATGACCTGGGTCTTCACACTCATGGTCAAACACAAACAACTACACTCTGACCTGATTCAAACAGCTGCAACGACAAAAATCTCTATTTGAATGACATATGCTGAGGATGTAAAGGTTGGGTGCTGCATCCTATGGACTGCAGGACACAGAGGTCACAAATCATCGCCGTTTTTAGGGGTACCCAGGGCCAGCCCCAATGGCACATCCACCAGGGGATAAAAGGCTCTGCCTTGTTTTCCCTATTTCCTGCACATCCTGTTGTTAAGATCGTTTATCTGTGTGTTTATCCTATCACTTTCCTTCTTAAGCTACTACTTCTAAAGTGAGTTGGAGCCAGGTGGCTTAGAGAGGAGGATGCTCTTAGAACTCTCCCAGTACACAGTTTGTGAGCTCCTGGTGCCTGAGTCAGGAGAGGGATCTGTGAGTCGAGAAGTTGAGGACTAATGGCTTTGTACCAGCAAAGCCGCTGAAAAACGCAGCAGGACACAGAGTTCCAGCACCTGCTGTGGTGTTTAAAGCAGGGATTTCACTCTGATTGGTGTCTCTGTGGGATTACACTGCCAAGGGGGTTTACAACGCATTGGAATCGGGTCCAGAACACACGTATGGGCAAGGGCTGAGGGAGTTGGGTTGGTCAGCCTGGAGAAGAGGCTCAGGGGTGACCTCCTGGCTCTCTGCAACTCCTGCCAGGGCTGGAGAGAGGTGTGGGATGTGTGTCCTGCCAGGGCTGAGGGAGAGGAGAGAGGGAATGGCCTTGAGCTGAGCCAGGGCAGAGTCAGATTGGATGTGAGGAGAAATGTTTTCCCTGCTGTGGTGTTGAGGCCCTGGGATATTGCCCAGGGAGGTGGTGCAGTCACCATCCCTGGAGGTGTTTCAGAGGTGTCTGATGTGGCACTGGAGGATCTGGGTTAGGGTTTGGGGGTTCCAGCAGGGACAGGTTCATGGTTGGACTCGATGATCCTAGAGGTCTCTCCAGCCCTGATGGTTCTGGGATTCTGTGAAAACATGGAGTTGGACTCAGAAGACGCAAACAAAAGTCTAACAAGTCACCAATGTGCCAGGGTGGGCAGCACAGGCACAGATAGACAAGCAAGTACTTGACACTGCCAGAGGAGCTCACTCTAGTGACAGGTCATACAGGAAGCTTGGCAAGACCAAAAAACCACATCACTCCTGCAAGCAAACTCCAGACAACGTTTCCCTGCTCTGCCTTTCGGTCCTGTCGAAGTGATGAGAAAAGGCAATACCATTTCCACTCCCAAAGGTAATCATGCTGCAGCTTCAAATCATTCTTCTCTCACTGCCCAGAAGTGCCAGGTCGGGCCTGGCCCTGCAGAAATATCCACATCAATCTCATGCAGTAACATCTCACAGCAGCTCAGAACTGTGTCAGCTGGAACAGCTGGTTGACACGTGCTCCTTAATGTCTTGAGTGATGACCTGGAATGAAAAGTCAGACTTCCCATTGTGGAAACCTTTGCTGCTGATGTTATCAAACCAAACCTAAAGACAACCCTCCTGAACTACCTCCCCTCTGAGCAAAAGTCATGTTGAAGCAAAGAAAACTTAGATAAAGTAAAGCTTTCCAGAATTCTGGAGTTTTTCAGCATAGAAAGAACAGCGAAGCAACAGGATCAGTCTCCTTGGCAGATTCTGGATTAACCACTGGAGGTTTTTTCCAAGACCAAAGCATCTCCCAGGAGTGGCACAGGACATGGTGATGCTAGGACATGGGGCCCAGGGCAGGGGGTTGGCACCAGATGGTCACTCAGGTCCATTCCAACCCCTAAAGTTCCATGATTCTATTTGGGAGGAGATTAAATTCAAAGCAAAATAAAAGTCAGAGGAAAAAAAAGACAGAGCATTGTGCACAGATGATAGACTGCTACACTTTCTGCTCACAAGGTAAAGAAACAATGGAGAGAAACAAGAGGTTGTCTCTTCAAAAATCCAAATCACTAAGAGAACAAAGGGAAATTATTGCTCCTTTTTCCTGTCCACTTTTCCACCCTTCCCTTCCTCCTTCCCTCCCTCTCCCATAGAAAATAATCTCAAAATTAATTGCAGCAGAATCTTTTCTTTGCTGTTTGTTTTAAGCTATTGAATCACCATTTGTCCTCACTAGACACTGATGATTTAACTGCCAGTTTATTTTCAAACCAGACCAAGCATTTGGTTGTCATGCAAGTGCTCTATTTTAGCCCTAATGGAAATAATTAAACTGACTTAAGTGCATGAAGAAGCAAAGAGGAAATAAAACAGCCATTTATCTTATCCAAAGGTCTACCCAGTGTCCTGACCAGAAAGCAGAAGGTTCTACACAGTGATGCTAAAAGAGCTGAAAAACAAACACTCCATTCACTGTTGTCCTTGGCCATTAGCAAAGGCTTTAGGATTTGTGGTAGTAGCAGGTGCTGCAGTGACAATCTGTGTGATTCTCTATCTTCACGTTGTCCTTCAGGGTAATCTTAGAAAGAGAAAACACACACATATGACAAAGAGTTAGCATTACACAGTAAAAACAGCGTTGTCAAGAAAAGGGTGTATGAAACCTTTTCCTTAATCACATTCTTTGGGGCACATGGACTAGAAGGACCTCAACACCAACCTATGGAGCTGCACCATCAGTGCTTTTTGGAGCTGTAAAGAGGTTTTCAATAGTTACATGCCCAGTGACATAATTTAGTGTCCTGACACTTATTGGAGTGTCTAAGTTTCAAGAAGTGCCAAGTAACCAATCCATGAAAAATCAGGATGTGTTCTTAAAACACTTCCCTTGGGGATTGCACACAGGAAGACCACAAACCAAGGAGTTATTTGATCTCCACCAAATTCAGGCTGAGGCAAGGATATTTATACATATATACATATATATACTCAGGTAGGGCAGGTATAATGTTGTCTAGAACAAGATCTGTGTAACCTAGAATAAGCTCTGGAGTAAGATCCATGTTCTCCTCAGCTGAAAAGCCAGGATGGGTTCAGCTGGAGGTGTCTGTAGCACTGCCAGGTATCTGGGCTCTCATCTGGAGACCCAGTGCTCTCTTCAGCTGCACCCACTGAGCTGTCAGTTGACATCTGAGAGGTCAGAGGGGACCTCAAGCTCCAGCTGCCACTCTAGAAGCTCCTTCAGGGGTCCTGTGTCTCCAGCCACACACGTATGACTTCAGTACCCTAAGGCATCTCAGTGCCCCAAATCTGTGAGTGGATAACTTGGCTGAGCCTCGAGCTGACACAATTCCTGAGCCTGGTTCAGCTCACTACAGGAGACACACCTTAGCTGGTACAACTAGCTCACCATTTGTTACAGAAAACTTAAAGGTTTCTGCACTTGGAGCAGAATCACCCCCAAAACAACCAGATTTAGGAGAATCTCCCTTTACAGGAACCTTCCAGATGAGAGTGTTAAATGCTCACAGTAGTTGCACACGTCTACAGTTCCCTCTTTTGCCATTAAAACACAACCTCAATTAACCTCAGGAGCACAGATGGGTTTGGCCTCTCATTCCCATCTGTGTAATGGATAGTATTGATCAGACACCTTCCCAGTGAACTGTGCAGGAGAGAAATAGGACATTTGGCTGATTAAAGTCAAACACACTCTGCATAGCTTTGGAGGGGAGGGGGAACACCAAGCGGGGGCAAAAATGAGGGGAAACTCCACCAAGTCCACGAGTCCTCCACCACTGCAGCTGTCATGAGGCAAAGCAGTTTCACTGCACCAATGACCACATCCCAACTGAACATCACATTTGTTACTGGTTGATGCTTTAATTCCTTCTTTAGGGAAAAAGAAGGAACTAAAGCACATGGATAGAAATGCCAAGGATGCTTCCCTCAAATAGTTCTCCAGTGTCCTCCAGCAGAACCATATTCTTCTCCAGCGACTGTTCAGCTTAATACAGCATCCTAAAGGAAATTGAAATGGATCTCATTCACAGCCTCACCTTGGTAAAAGCCTTTGCTACACAGCACGTTGCTTCTGAGGTAATGTTCTTTGGAACGAGCATGGTCTTCTTGGACCTCATCGGGGTGGGATAGGCACGGGAGAAACAGCACCCAGTGCACTGGTAGATGGGAGCTCCTGGTTTGGAAAAGAATCTGTTCTCCCCTAGCTTGCACTCTGGGCAACCTGCCATCAAAAGAGAAAGAAGAGACTTATTGTTCAGCTGTATTTTCATTTTCAGAAAGAAAGGGAAAGTGCAGACCACAAGGGGAAGCAGCAGCCACAATTCTGCTGCTTGGTGTCTGCAGAACAGGAAAGCACAGACACCAAAGCTCATCCTTGGGGTTAGACTCGAGGAATCATAGAACCATCAGGGCTGGAGGAGACTTCTGAGGTCATCGAGTCCAACCATGAACCTGTCCCTGCTGGAACCCCCAAACCCTAACCCAGATCCTCCAGTGCCACATCAGACACCTCTGAAACACCTCCAGGGATGGTGACTGCACCACCTCCCTGGGCAATATCCCAGGGCCTCAACACCACAACAGGGAAAACATTTCTCCTCACACCCAATCTGACTCTGCCCTGGCTCAGCTCAAGGCCATTCCCTCTCTCCTCTCCCTCAGCCCTGGCAGGACACACATCCCACACCTCTCTCCAGCCCTGGCAGGACACACATCCTACAAAAAGTTCTGATTCTGCTGCTTCTGCAGTGTCATTGCCATTTAGATCTCAGGAGTACAAGAAACCAAACATTTCTATTTGGTAGCATTTCAAGGCTTAAGATCACCCACATCACCATGAAGAAATGGTCAGCTGGGGTTTCCTTCACCTGGAGAAATCAAGTTTAGACAAGAAATAGGAAGCATATTCACAGTGAAATCATCTTGATTTATTATTCCTTCATTGTCAATAAACACAACTAAGCAAAGAGATTTATGAAAAGAAGTGAGAGTTTAATTAATGCTCTTGATGAACCATTTCCCTGTTTCTGGATGCTGAAAGCAGCTTACCCTGCATGAGGAACTCTCCGTCGGGGAACGCATGAAGGAGATGTAGAAAGACAGAGAAAATGGTCAACATGACAGCTGCATATTTCCTGTAGCAATCCATGACCTGCCTGGAACACAGACACACAGGTTGTTGGTGGGTGTTTTGCATGGGGTGCAGCTCCAGGTGACACACTGACACAGCATTCCCTGTCAGGAGCAGAGGCAACCAGAGCCAGGGCTGAAAACAGACCTCAGAGCACTGAGGTGCATTTTGTAGGCTCAGAATCCCCTCCTGGTCCTGCTGACCACACTGTTCCTGCTCCAGCCCAGGATGCCATTGGCCTTCTTGCCCCCCTGAGCACACTGCTGGCTCCTGCTCAGCTCCTGTCTCTCCACACTCCCAGGTCCCTTTCTCCTGGTGCTCTCCAGCCACTCTGTCCCAGCCTGGAGCTCTGCATGGCACTGGGATGGCCAAAGTGCAGGACCTGGATCTTTTCTGAGAGGTAACTACTCCCTATGGTTGGCAAACCACAGTGTATGGATTGCTCTGTCTTCAGGTTTTGAAGCAAAATGAAGAAAGGAAGAACATAATCACCAAAATTGGAACATGACCTACTTATATAATATTTTTTTGATAACTGCTCACAGCAGAATTTTGCATGTGTAGGTATATAACACATATGAATGACACTTCATGCTTGGACTTTCCAGCCCTGCAGCCACCTGAACAGCTAGCACAGCCCTCAGTCAGAGCACAGAGGAGCAAAGCATGGGGCACTAACTGTCTGGGCATATTAAACTTGGGTAATATTAAAGAACAAATGAAGATGAGCACAAGTTATGTTTAAAGCAACGATTTCCCTCAGTTTATTTCTAGTTTCAAATGCCTGATAGGAACTGAGTGACTTTTCTCAGAGGTTGGGAAGTGCCCTGAAGTTCCCCTTTCTGGTATGGAGCTTCACAGGAAAGTTACTGGCCCAAACCACATTGGCTCTGCCAAAAGCATCCATGGCTCAGGATAAGACAGGACATTGCAACTAGGTGGTCTTCAAGGTCCCTTCCAACCCAAGCCATTCTCTGGTTCTATGATTGAGTTTTAGAGTCTTTTTCTTGCTGAGACAGGGAGCATAGCTCAACAGGAGGCTTTCCCTGGCCCTTGTAGATAATCCTGCGAGGAATTCTGGGCTAGGCACTGCTCACCTTCACCCTCAGGAGAAACTGTTTGGCTGTGGATGAACAACAGCACTTGGTTTACTGGCCCCAGCTCCTCCTGCTTCAGCCAAGCACCCCAGGCAGCCCCCCAAGCCCAGCAGGTCCTATCACCAAACTACTTAACTGCCTTCTCAGAAACATTATCAGATCATGCAGATGTCTCCAGCTCTGCAGTCACCTGCCCTGGCCATGCCTGGAGCTACCCTACCTGCCTGGGCTGTGCCTCAGCTGCTGCAATGAGCTCCTCCAGACTCTTCCAGCTGCATCTTTTCCAGTTTCTTCTGTGCCTGCACAGACCACCTGATTCCTTGACTTTAAAAGGCTGAAGCTGCCACACAAGAGCATGATGGGCCAAGGATTGATGTGTGGGATATATAAGTCTTAGATACTGAAAGTTCTTGTGCTTAGCAAGCACAGAAAACCACAGAAACACGCACCCCCAAAATTAAAGCCTTAACTTCTCGTGAGCTTCTCTTCTTCCCAACACACCAGGCAATGCTGCTACTGCCTGACAAATATTTCTCAGGTACAGATCAAATTGTGGCCCCAAATATGCCCAGAAGTGAGGTGGAAATGAGAAGGACAAGAATGCCACGAACACAGAAATCCATCTTGGGCTTTGGTGTAGAGGTTATTTCAGCATGCTCTGCTGGTCAGAGAAGGCATCATGGAATCATAGAGCCATGGGATTTTAGGAGCAAGGAGCCAGCTGGAGGATCCATGCACCAGCAGAAGACAGACAGCCTTATCCAAACAACCTGTTTCTATATCATCCTGAGCCTCCTGGATGCTCCAAAGGCTCCGGGAAGATGCCAGCCACAGGGATAACACCACAACCCTTGACTGACTGTCCCAGGATTTCATCCTCGTTGCTGAAGGCAAAGTGGCATCCTTCATCCTAATTTTTACAAGAATGCACAGTGCTATAATCTGGTACATTGTAAGGCTTTGAGGGAATCCCAGAGGGATTTTTTTATAGCACATGAACCAAAAGGGGAATTGAAATTGCAGATTTGCACTTCCTCTAATTGAGTCAGACTGCCAGGCTTGTTCCAAAACCACCAAGGAGACCTGGCAATAAACCACAGATGGGATCTTCTCCACATTTCCAATGCAGTAGATGTTTTGCCTGATGGTCTGGCTTGATTTTCTGACTGTGCCCATGCTAGTAACCCACTTAGTGCCTACACCACTCACTTCATCTTACTTATCAAATCAAAGGAAGCTCTTACTTTGTTCTATTAAAGATTATCTTTCTCTAGCTACTGAAACATTATATAATGCATGAATTCCAGCAGCTCTTTGCAAAGATGGTAATTTTAAGCCTTTCCCAGCAGTTAAAGTTTCAACTCATTATCTACAAAACCTTGGATGGTCTATCCTGCCAGGGCTGCAGGGAGAGGAGAGAGGGAATGGCCTTGAGCTGAGCCAGGGCAGAGTCAGATTGGATGTGAGGAGAAATGTTTTCCCTGTTGTGGTGTTGAGGCCCTGGGATATTGCCCAGGGAGGTGGTGCAGTCACCATCCCTGGAGGTGTTTCAGAGGTGTCTGATGTGGCACTGGAGGATCTGGGTTAGGGTTTGGGGGTTCCAGCAGGGACAGGTTCATGGTTGGACTAGATGATCTTAGAGGTCTCCTCCAACCCTGATGATTCTATGATTCTATGTTATCAGTTCCCATCACAAAGACAAGTAACCACCTGTATTTGGAAACAAGTCTTCTGCCCAGGTATATAGAACTATAGAATTTTAGGGGTTGGAATGGAGCTCAGAGCTC